GGGGGAGGAGGGGGGGGGGGGGGGGTGGGGGGGGGGGGGGGGGGGGGGGGGGGGGGGTTGATGGGAGGGCCGGGGGTTGGTTGCGACCGATGGAGAGGGAAATGACTTTCCTCTATCAATTCACAGGAAAAGGTTGTTATTACTGTGAGAATGCTGCTGTAATACACATCACAATTAACAAAAGAGCACTATTGTATTTATTTTATTTTTTAAATTTTACAATCCGTCGTATTTATTTAATAATTTCCAAGTTGCTGTAAAATACCATTAAGGTGAAGTCACATAGTTGTATATTCAATTTTCATTGGCAGAAAATATTTTTATTTTATTTTACTTTAACGAGTTTTCACTTACCTGAAAGTATGAAAGTGCAGCAGAAGTCGACATGTCGGATCAGAATGGTTTTCCATTGACAGTCTGAGCCCATTACTTCACGCCACCAAACTTTGCCAGCTTGGTTATTTGTACCATATGGCCTCCTGTAGCCTAAACTTTTGATCCTCTCTGTGCCACAGGATGGCTTCAGTGTGGTTGTTGCCACAGTGAGCTCAGGCAGTGGAGAACATCTGTGGTCCTACGGGGAGAAAGTGTGAATCTCCACATCATGTACAGTAAGGAATGTGCAAGTGTCTGCAGCCGTGGCTGGCTGCACCGTCTATTTTTTCAAGTGCTCCTGGAGCCCAGACCTAAGTGACTTAACAGAAACAAATGAAAATAGTTGGAATACCTCAAAGCAACTCATTTCAATTTGTCCGGGCCATCTGCAGACCTTTGTCCACTCGCAGACCTCAGAGTGTTTCCCTTGGCGTGTTAGAGAACCTTACCTTAAGTTGAGTCTGCTTCAAGACCCATATATTAGGACTTGGTCAAATTTGTTGGGCCCCTCGCATGGATTCGGGTGCCAACAGCAATTCAAGTCCAAATCTTTCAAATCTCACTGTGGCCATTGTGGTGCTTCACAACATCAACAACCAGTGAAATTTATTAGAGCCTATTTGGATCTGGGAAACGTTCCCACTAAACAAAACAGAGTGAGTTGAGCAACAATCCAGTTCCTCATAGGGGTCCCGGGGGGACCAGGACAAATGCTCTGCCGTTCAAGTTTACATTACCGTAGTGGTCCGCGGGGTGATTTATTTCAGGGGTTTGGAAGGGGTCAGGGTTATTATATGGCTGAAATGTTTGGAGTAAATGAGAGACTGATTTGGCTTTTGATCATAATAATCTGAAATGAGGATAATAATGTTTCTGGGCTTCCTGTACGTGCTGTCCTCTGTCTAAGCTCTGTCTCAGAATGATCAAGATGACGTGGTGCATTTACAGAGACAATTAAATGGTCATAATTCTGCACTTAGTCCCATTTCAAGTCTGTGGATTCCACTGTGATAATCACCCAGAGACAGAAGAAATTACACACTCATTACATCTGAATTTAAACTACCCAGTCCAAACAATAAACTCCAAACCGTGTGTGTTTTTGTACTAGACATGTGCGTAAAGACGTGCCAAATCTAATTGGCATTGTGCCAAAAGTGCGGGTCAAGGTGTGAGGGCAAGGTGTCGTTTTTATGAATGTGTCACATTATGTGACCTGCGGGGGCCACTTCCATCCGGGTGTGGGGCTTCACGCGTCCCCGTCCTCCCCCGACAATAGCAGTCAATGATGGGCTGTTTGCACTTCATCATGGAGTGATAAGCGACGCCTTTCTTCTGCGCAGGCAGACTGGAGGAGAGAGTGTCTATTGGAGCTAACACAAAGCCACAGTTCACTTATTAGCTCCATTGGAACACGATGGCGCAGCTGTGTATTGGAACAGCCCCGTGTGTATGTTTGGTTTCTGTCTCCTATTCCATGACTCAGCGGTTGATGAAAAATAAAAAGCACGATACCAAACTTTTTCCTGCTCACGAGGCCATCATTTAATCAGCATCCGACATCGACGCTGCTCCCATTACGCACATTTGCGTCTGGCCCTTTGGAGAAGCTGGCGCTGTTTTCTAACCATATCAATGACACATGTATTAAATCCGCGCCAAATTGAATAATGTGGAGATTAGAGGATTTTCTAAGTTGTTGTGTCATAACGTTTGCTTTTACTCATACGAACAAACATCGAATTTAGTCATGGATTTTAGAGCTGCCCGTTCCTCCAAGGCAAAATATGTTGACAGTATCACGCGTTCTCTGCGCTTATTTACGCCTGACGATAAACAGTAACTCAGTGAATAATCACTGATCGATTTCTGGATTGATAAAGTACAGATGAAGCAGAATCGTAATGGAAACTTTTGGTCGTGCTGCGCACATAAATAAATGAAAGTAAGGCTGTGCAGTTTTTTTTAAAAATTAGGAACCGTTCCATATTTCTCTACACAGATACAATCATTCTACGACCGTATTTCAGACAGTAGCCTGAGTCAGAGCGCAGCGAGAGGCGCGTCTTTGGCGCGTTAGTGGAAGGACACGCAGGTTTTACTGAAGCCAAATGTGACCAAACTGAAGGACGTGGCTCTAACACACACACCTTTACAGTTTGTGTGTATCTATGTGTACTGGCGCATGTTAAAATACAGTACACTTTCACCCCCCCGCCCCCCCCCCTTTCTCTGTCTGTGTATTTGCTGCAGTCTGTCAGACGGCAGCGGTTTGCGGGTCATTGCCAACACACACACACACACACACACACACACACACACACTCACACACACACCCTCCACCACACTCTCCAGACCGGTCCGTATGTGCGCGCTAACGTACACACACACACACACACACAGTGGAACCGCATCCTGTTTGTTGCCCCCCCCCCCCCCCTCCACTGCACCACCTCCTCCGTTTCTAATAGAGCTGCCTGTTCTGTGCTGCTGAATATATGTTTTTCTAATTTGTCCTTCGGTGGAAACATAAAGGTGACAGTTTCTTTTTGTTTTAATGAGAGACAATCGACAACCTGTCTTTAAGGAAAATATTTTTTACCTATTATTTTTTTTACAAGTGACTTCACACATTATACTGAGGCAGTGATTTCCAAACTTTTTCTGAATTCTATTTGAAACACTGTAATTACTACCATTGTCATTGAAAAAGGGGGAAAGTGATTAACAAATCAGGGCAGTTGAACCACTGAGGCACAGTTAAAGAAAATGCTGAATTTGATCGATTGATTAAATGCTGAGTTGTATTTACTGCCACCTACTGGCTCTTTTTTTTACACACAGTCTATTTACTGCCACCTACTGGCTCTTTTTTTACACACAGTCTCTTGTGGGTGTTCTCGTGGGTTCAGTGTGTTATTTGTTTAGAAATGATAACTATACCTTTAATCAAACAACATCTGTCATAATCTGGAATTTTATTATCTCCTATGATTTATTAGAGGAGGGGTCTTTTTTTTTTTTACCTGGGCACTCTGCGTCATATTATCTTTTGTCTGCCCATGCAGACTTTGTAGGTACAAATTCTCTGCCGGTAATTGAGCATTTCCCATTGCATTCCATTCCAACAGTGCATGCAGAGGCCGTCTTTGTGTGCATTCTGTGTTTTTTAGTTTATATCATGCGCAGACATCTGAGGGAGGCGACTCATTATGAGAAGCTGCTGGAAAATGATCTTTTACGCCAGAGATGAACAGATCAAGGGGAAGTGAAGTAGCTCTTATTCATTCACTTACAGTCTCTCTCTCTCTCCCTCTCTCTCTCTCTCTCTCTCTCTCTTACATACACATGCCCAACAGCAGGGATGTGTGTGTGAAGTGGCATCAAATGCCTAACAAAACACAATAAAGTTACCATATATTATTATTATTATTATAAAACAATACGTACATTATATAAATATTATAATGTTCTGGCATTTACAGTTCTGGAATCTTCTCTTTTTTACCAATGCTTTCCAGCAAAGTTTTTTTAACTTATTTTGTTAAATACATAAAATAAAATAAAGTAACTTTTTATTCATTCTTTGGCCCCATGCCACATGATCTGTGCTCCTGTACTGGTCCCCGACCCAGTGGTTGGGGAGCCTTGCGTTAAAGGCAGGATGTAGCTGGAGGAAAACTGCCGCCCCCTCCTCCTCAATATGACAAAGCAACAAAACATCTTCTTTCAAAGCACATGAAGCTGGAATTGCAGCCACTGTTATGCTGATACTGATGATGATGGTAATAAGAGGTGGTGCGGGGCAGTTGAAAAGCTAATTCACAGAAGGGGGAAGAAAGGACAGGAGTGAGTGGGTCTTTCCTCTCTGCATGCAAATGCAGGGAGAGGAGTCTTGCAGAGAGCGCTATGTTTATTCATACTAACTGCAGGGGCTTTACAGACACGGCCGAAACTTCAGAGAGAGAGAGAGAGAGAGGCTGATGATGATGATGATGATGAGAGTGTGACAGTCATTACTGCAGGCAATTAGCAGGCAGGAGCGAGCTCCAAATGCACCAGTTTATTTTGACACCTGTGTGCTCTCTGGCTGAAGACTTTGCGTATCATTTGCCACCACAAGGTCTGCTTTTGTTTGCAGAGAAATGTGCAGCGACACGTTTTTCATCAAACCTTGACTAATGTCCTGGAAATGATCTTCTTATTTACACCCTACCTGGAGATTGTGAGTTTTATAGTCACCTTTATTAGAATTATCACATTACATATTATTACATATTGTTAACGTGTACCTTTGTCTAATCTTTCATGTATGTGTTTTATCAATAACGTATAATCAATAGTCAGACTGATAAATAAGGCTGGTGCATTTGGTAACTGCAATGTTTTTTATAGCTTCCTAAAATCTTTTTATTTCAACAAATAAAACATTATTTTTCTTCAACTAATAATTCAGAGTTAAACTTGTTCTTCTTTTTTTAAAACAAAAAAAATGTAATTTAATTTTTGAATTGATTCTTGCAGCACACTCAAAATGACCAGGTTAACTGATCATTGCTGGGTAATTTTTCAGTATAAAAGGAGCACCCAACAAAGGTTGAATAGTTGCAACAAAGAATAGGCTGTGGGTTACCACACTTACTCCCCAGAGAGAATTGTCGTGCAATTCCAAACAATGTTTGTCAGTGCTACGTAGGAAATAATTTAGACCTTTCAACGTCCACAATGGTAAAAAGAGAAAAATAGACCAGTCAGGAAAAGTCTTTGTGCGTAAAGACTAAGGACTGAAAACGCTGCTCCCTGTTTGTGACCTTTGGGACCTTGGACAGACGAACATCACAAACCACCTGGCTATGGCCCAAACAGCTGCTGCGCCAGTAAATGTTCTCTCAGATTGCACCGTGCATAAAGAAAACAATATGTTAAGTTTAAGAATTTAGAAAAAAAAAATCATCAGTTTACCTTGCATTGTCTGTCGGCCTTTCACAGAGTCATGGGCTAAAGGCGTAAAAGCAACAAGAGTTTATTTGGCACATTTTAACACTTAAAACAAATAAAACACATAAACAAAATACAAGTAACTCATTTTTAAATATATAAAGACAAGAATGAAACGTACAGTGCAGTATAGTGTGGAAATAAATATCATATTGAATTGAAGAATTTTTTCCAAGCTTAACACTTATCACAAAGACCATGCTTGAAAAAGCGTATAATGTAAACAAACCCACAGAGACATTATCCGTCCTCTGTGTATTTAAATCTCCTCAATTTCTCAGTTTGTCTGTGTTTACAAGAGTCAAATAGCTTCCACACACATTTTCTACATGTGGGTTGGAGAGAGAGAGGGAGGGACAGAGAGAGAGAGAGAGCATTTGAAAAGGATCTTCACATTGTGTGGATCTCTTTTGCCTTACAGTAAGATCTGGAGTTGAAGTTGTCAGACTATGACAGGCACGAGGCCTGATTCATATTTTCCATGTTCCATGTCTGCTGTGAGCTGCTCAGCCGTACACGGTCGCAGTGCCATTCGTAATAAAATCAGTCTAGCGTTCCACAAGTGCATATTAGATCAAACAGGTCCACCACCAACTGGAGTGGAAACTGTGTTGTACTACATGGAGCTCACACAGTTGGCACGTGTGGACCACATGACCAGAGAATGTTGGTCTCGCTCCATGCTAGTAAATGGGTTCCAAAAGAACTGTCACAAAGATGGAAGGTGTTATTATTAATAAAAATACATATGTTCGACCTCAGCAGACCTCGGCTGCTGACAACACTGACTGTCTGGAAAGTAACAGTGTGATGTGAAGTACACTTCTCTGTGCAAAAGATCATTTATTTAAAAATTGTTGCTGATATCCCACCTTCAGCTTTTGGCCATGTTAGCAGTTAGCAAGTAAGTTTTATCCACGAATGCTAGCCCTCGCTCCTTCCGCCTTCCATTCTGGACATGGAAACAAAAAGACTAACTGCAGCCTCAATACTCCTGTGGCAGCACACACTGAAAGGCAAGGTCACACTGACAACAACACAGACAGATTGCGACAGGATAATTTCTTCACTGAGCCTTGCAATTCTCAATCATAGGAGGTCACAGGCGGAGTGAATATGAACGTCACTGGTGCCAAGTATAAATAATCCTCGGCACCAGTGGTTCTACATAATGGGGTCTGGAGCCCTGAGGATTGGGGAGAAAATGAGGAAAAAGTTTATATTCTCACCATCCCTGTTGCCAGAATCGCTCCAATTGAGTCTGTGCCCGACACGCGAAAAACAGGGGTGTGTGGAGCTAAAAGCGAATGACGAATAGACACAAGACAAGGTCTTAGTTGCCAAGGAAAACCTTAGCAAATCGAGATATTAAAACAGCAATTTATTTCGCCACAATTCTGAATGGAAACAAAACGTTCCACCATCAGAATTTAACGGGCCAAGACGAGTAATTCATATTCATCACTTTAGGGTAATGTCAAAAAGGCCGCAGCTAGTAGCTCAGAAGTGCTCTCAGATGTGTGACCTGTGATAGTTGGTGTATTCATGACTTTTGGAATGAATGCTGTTGCAAATCCCTTCCTCTGCCCATTTCTTTATCCCTTCCTTTTCCCTTTTTAACCAGTTTATTACCTGCTGTCTTTCATTCATGCATGCTGTGTCCTCTTTCTCCTCGCCGTCCTTCTGTTCTCTGTTGTTCTTTTGAAGTGTCATGGATTCCTGGGGTTTTTCAAAGGGTCAGTAAAGGCCAGTCCTACTGTCCTTGGCGAAGGAAGGCCGTGGGATAAACGTGTGTTACCACCTGTTCTGGCTGCTCTTTGTCAACATGGACTGTGTCACTGTACTCACCCTTCGCCACCTCGACCCCTGCCGCTTGTACATTGTTCACACACCAAAATGCATGAGGTCCTGAGCAAATGCTAGCGCCCACATACACACTTACAAGAACGTGCGTGGTACTACTGTAGGACCCCCGCTGTCTGACAACCGTCACACAGAGACAAATCAAGGGGCCCTGCTGCTAAGAGCCACCGTTTCTTCACACTTCACATTATGGAGCACTCTTTCTGACGCAAGCCCAAACCAGTGGGGGTTGCTGGCCTGAGAAAAAGGCTTATGTCCTGGGGAGAAAGAGTCAATTGCAGGACTGGGGTCACACAGAGAGTAAAAAGATATAACAAGAGTTCCTTCTAAATAAAAAAAAACCCTCCACTTGAGACACAGAGATCAAACCACTCGGAGCAGCAGTGGGTAGATTTTTGATGCTCCCTTCAAAAGAGGAGTGTTGTCATAGAACCCCCCCGCTGGAAGAGCACGGTCCAAAACTGGACACAAGGGCAGAGTCTGTTACCGCCATCTGCTCAAACCTCTGAATGACACTCCTCACAGGCTTAAACGCTATCTCCCATGGCCACTGGCTGTCGTCTGAAATACGAGGCCCCCTGTAGGTTGAGTCCTTGCTGCAGAAGACGTGTGATGGAGGAGGCAGGCAGCAGCGTATCCTCAGACAACCCTGGCCCAGTCCGAAAGCTGGGAGCACACCAGCAGCACCAAAGCGGGTGGGAAGCGTGGCCAGATGCTCCTGGGTCACGGTGTTGTGAAAGCTCAGAACTCCACCTCCGATGTTGAGGAAGACTCCGAGGTTTTTGATGTGAGGAGGGACAGTGTGGAGCGGCTCCCTGCTCCCATCGTAGACTGCACAGAAAGAGCTGCCCTGCCGCTCCAGCCACCATCCAACTGAACCGTCCACTGAGATCACACCTGAGACAAAGACACGTACATACAGGTGTTATGTTTATGGAACAACAGTTAACTATAAGATAGAAATAGTATTATTTATTAAAAAACAGAGTAGTAACGCTGTATGTATGACATAGTCATTGTGTGGGTTCTATCTGAGCCCATATGAAATATACATATTTATTTTCTTTAGTTTACATTTTTGTGGAAAACAGTGTATGTCTTCATTTCCATCTTAGTTTTTCTTCTGCTGGTTTATTTAACTCTTAACAAGATATTTTTTATATAAAGCTCTTTAAAACTGTGAACATTAAGGTTGTTTAGATGAATGGGAAATTAAAAAGCTCCAAAAACTGTTTTTACAGCATCTAAAGGTGTATTTGTTCTTTGGGAAGTCATAAATCGTTGAGTTGAAATCCAAACTTTTTTTTCCAAACTTTGGTGAAAGAAAAAAACTGCAAAGTCCTTCTCCCTGGACTCTAGAACTAGGATCTATGGTACATAAACCAGAGAACAACTTGTACGTCAATACTTTAAGCACTTGTTGGCAGTATTGACCACATATGTTGTTATTTTAGGACGTGTGTGTGTGTGTGTGTTTGTCTTGCTGACTCATTTCTTGAAGCAGTAAACACACTGGCATTCAAACCCCCACTCCAACCTAAGTGATTTCCTTACCAATTCTGTACACGGAGCTGTTACACACATCCACCTCCCAGTAGTACTGCCCCCGAGCAACGATGACGTCTCCACACACCTGCGGAAGCCCCAATGGGACCTTGGGGTCAGAGGTCACCTTTGACCTCCTGACCTTGTTGCATGGAGTTGTGAGAGGCGGTCCTTGGTAGGTGACAGTGAGGGAGCTTTTGGAGACACTGAGGGATGTGGAAGCAGTTGAAGGATTCAGAGCAAAGTCCAGTCCTGAAACAGAGCAGACAAATACTGCATGTCACTTTATTATGATTCAAAATATGATCTGTTTAGTTTAGGAGACTTGAAACGTCAAGCAGTCCTTACCAAAGACAGACTGCATCATCTCTTTCTCTTCTAGGTCCACAGCGCCATCTACTGGGCAGCAGGTAGGATGTCCTGGGTCAAACGAGGAGAGCGAAACAAATTTTGCACAATATGATAATTACGTGTTGTATTTGTAACTGGAACCGTTAGTATATCATCATCTCACCATGTGAACAGCTGTGTGTGGGTTCTTCAGCTGAGTCCCTGCAGTGTGTTGGTCCCTGTCAATACAGCAGCAGAGATGCAATTTGTCAAGTTAGATAACATGATGTTTTGTTGTTTAAAGTGCAGGAAAATGACTTAAGACAACAGAAAATAAATACATAAATCCAGAGAACCCATGGGTCTTCTCTGAGGTTATGTTTTTCTCCTAATAACTAATATATTTGTTTCACTTTATGTTTTATAAATCATCTTAAAAAATGTTTGTTGCTAAGGTGCTCAACATCACGAGCAGTCATTTGTTAGTAATGCTGTAGTACTACATAGGCATATGAAGAGTAGAAATTTACTGTAAAATTCTAAATTTGATACATGTCACATGGTAAAAATTGTGCTTTGATTCCTTGTTTTTTGTCATTTCAGCATTAGGAATCGTGCTTATAAATAAGTGCAGTTTTAAAGGACACACTGAAATGTTAAAATGTATTTCTCTTCTCAGTTTTTAAAGCCCTCACCTCTCTGTGCTGAAAGTCCTTTCCAGATTTTCCCTCCTCTCTGCCTGGCTCCTTAGTGATGCGTGCAGGACTCAGCGTGGGGTGTTTAGGTAAACAGGAAGTGGCAGACGACCAGGTACTGGATGGCAGCTCAACAGGATGTCGACAGCAGGGGCACATCACGGAGCAGACCGGCTGACTGAGGTGGAGGAGACGCACTGAGCTCTTTGTCTCTCCTGCGGCTATGCACTGACAACACATGGTGTGAGAGCACGGCAGGATCAGGACCACATCATATTCCTGCAGACAAGCTGGACACTCGGAGGCCGGCTGAAAATAATCAGTGTCATTTTCTCCATCCTTCGCTCTGTAAGTCTTTTCCATGTCCATCAAAAGTCCACTGCCTGTTTAAGGTGCCATTTCAGCTTAAAAAAATGGGTTAAACTCCACTGGCTGTTGTTTACATCCTGAATTTTCTAACACCACTCTGCTTCTTCCTCCAGAAGTCAAGGCCAGCTTAGGTGTGAAACATCAACAATCCAACAATCTCAAACGGCACAGATGCGTCATCTTACTGTGAAGGTAATCCTGTTTGCTGACAGGATGAAGGATATGTCAATAAGACGAGACATCCCAGAGTGGCACTTTTTCATAAAACATAATGTCCTTAAACACACTGAAATCACGCAGACACAGGATGCACAGACCAACACATCCCCCCGTCCCTGTTCCCTACCTTCCTCCCAACACATCCCCCCGTCCCTGTTCCCTGCTCACTATTGTGTATAACAGAGAAAGCATAGGGAGAGAGAGAAAGAGAAAGAGAGAGAGCTGCGTCACATAAAGTACTCAAAGCTTGGGGTTGCCATGGTGATGGCTCTTCCCATACAGACACACCACTTCAAATGTTCTGCTCACACACACGCACACAATAACACAGACACGTAATATATACATAATAAAATCTAATATATACAGTCCCTATAGTCCAACAGCTAAAAAACCCTCGTCCATTCTCTTATAAAATTATTTTGAATCACATACTTTAACATTTCTTATGACCGTCTACAATTAGTCAGTAGAGAGACCACACCACCCTCTGCAGGTGGCTTACGAAAACTGCAACATGGGTTTTGGGCGAAGGTGAAACACTTTACAGTATATTTCTAATTAATTCACTTTGTGCTTTTACAGTTGATATAAGAATTACAGAGTTCGACAAAGGAATGCTTTAGATCATAAAACGGATGTAGAGAACGTCCACTTTGTTCGTGAGTCGAAATAGTTTAGAAAATGTGCTGTTAGTGACACGGAGAATGTCAAACTAAATCAAAACTGTAAAGCTTTTTGCTGTGGCTGGTGGGTTAATCATTAAATTCGTAATGACTAAGATGTGGAATGAAACCACGTGTTCCATTATATTGTCTTTTCCCCTTGAAGCAGGTGGCCGAAGTCATCTCGGGCTGTAATTGGCGCAGACAACGTGGTCACATGACGAAATTCAACAGGCTGAAAACAAATGAGGACCAACGTGTCAAGCAGTATCAATAGACTAGCTAATACCGGAAACTGTTTTACTTGTTTGGCAAAATGTAATACACGAGGTTGTTTCCACTCATTTCCGGCATAACACACTTTCTTCCTTTCGCTCACATTCTTTACCTCGCCCACCCCCCTTTAACAAGGAAAATAGGGAATGCGTTTCAATTCAGTGACCTTTACACTGAAAGTAAAAAACGGAAGTTGTTTGTAATGGATACTGTAGCTTAACTGTTTTGCGTCACATGATGCTCTACGCTAAAGTCCGACGAGGAAATCTGCCTGAACTGACAACTTGTCAACTTTAGCGGCCAACGTGATGGAAACTGAGATTTTATAGCCCTTGTGGAGGGTACTGTTTTTTTAAATGCTTTTTATTAATATTTATATTTTTAATTTAAGTTATTTTGCCGCAACGGAAAACACTTCTAGCTGAGCTATGCAGCCAGGGAGGTTAATGTTTTGTCGTATTTATCACACGGCACTGATAAATGCTTGAATAACTCTTGGAGAGAGCTGTACAGGCACTTGTGCAGTCAATCGTTGGGGGCTGTTGTGGAGAGTCGAAGAACGCGGTGTATGAAGAAAAGAAGAAGCTCTCACGATGTCGGAACGGACACCGCTGCTCCACTACAGGCTCTCCGCCAGCGTCAGTGAGCCCGAGCTGCGCTCACCGTCGGCGGGTCGGTCACCGGAGCAGCAGCCGCGGAGACCCAGCTCCAGGAGGCAGAGGTCAGGACTTCTGCATCTGCAGCAGCAGCAGCAGCAGACTCAAAAACTGTCCACCTTCTTTGGTGTGGTCATCCCCACGCTGCTGTCCATGTTCAGTGTGGTGGTCTTCCTACGAATAGGTGAGCAAAAAAAACAACAAAAAAAAACCTTGTTGGTTCATACAAATATCATTTATTATGAAGGAAGAGCTTCTTAGCACAGACAGAAGAAGGAAATATTTACATTATTCACAGGATTATTTGAGAGACATCTCAATGACGCAAAAAAAATCATTAACTACAATTATTTTAATTGTTATGGCATGCTAAGGATAATTAAGAGTGAAAAACAAAAGTAATGAAATAGTAATAATAATACACCTAAAGTATGATCTGTTAAACAGAACAATGTAAAGGCTAAAAGCGAAATCAACACATGAACATGATCATAAGTTTATTTAAAAAAAAAAACAGGTTATCAACACATGAACATGATCATAAGTTTTTTTTTAAAAAAAACAATAGAGAGTATTTTTAAAGTACACAGCACAAAAATCACATGTGCAATTTGATGCTTCTAATTCCTGTGAGGACAAAGGCGTCTCTCATTTCATCCTCAGATCACAAACCCAGTTCAGCGCAGAGTTTCTCAGGCTTTCATGTGTTCTGAGCTTTATGGCATAAATCTGACCTTTTCAGTCACATCTGACTATAAACCGATTTACGTCAGTTCTGTTTCACTTGTTGTTTTGGGTGAGAATGGATGGACGTAGACCTTGGTGTGAAGTACCTTGGAAAATGGATTTCTCCTGGGAAGTTTCCACTTCCACATTATTTATTTTAGTCTGTCAGCTAATGTAAAAGAATTCATTCAAGAAAACATGTCCTGTTTTTTTTAATAGACTGATACCGTAGTCACACCCTATGTGTTGTAAAGGGTGAACATTCTTTTATTAATTGCCCTGAAATCAATTTTTGTGAAGGTTAAGGTCAATCCTTGGGTCATGCATCACTACTCGGGTGAATTGAGAAAAAATAGGTCCATTGTTTGCAAGCATAGAATCTGGTTATATGGTATATATTTAGATGTGGATTTACTATATAGTTGCAAGTACTGTCAGATCATCACGTCGGTCTGTAACTCAAAACTGCAGTACAACCTGGATGACCTCTTTCTTTGTATTGGAGTAAATCTCATGGTTCATCTGTGTTTCTACCACCTAAATCAGTGAAGACAGGTAGAACAATTAAATACTGATCCACTAGGTGGCAATAGTTGGCTACAGAACTAAAAACATATTGGCTGATTGAGGAAGATCTTCGTGTGTGTCTTTCTTCAATTCCTGCCAGTATATCCAGTTTTTCTGCGTTTCACACTGACTAAAACTTTGGTGGTATTTTTGTTTTGCTGCGTAGTGGGACTTTTCTAATGCAGTGACTCAAAAATGGTTGGGAAGCACTGGCTTAAAACTTACTATGTTTACATCAGAAATTAGGCCTAAGTAAAAGTATTAACATCCCAAACAACAGCAGAGTAGTCGGTACCGTAGCAAGTACCGTATGTTTGACTTCACTCCCGTAACAGTTTTGAATCCCCCTGTTGTACTAAGTTGTTTTCAAACTCCCCTGCTCCTGCCTCACAGTCCCGTGAGATGTCAGCTGCTGCTCTGAGGACGGACACACACACATACACACACACATATCCACATGTGTATACCTACAGCTACTCAGAAAGTTAGGTGATCAATCATAAAGAGTTTTTATCATAATATAGAATTTATATTTTTACTTTTACTTCAAAGGAAATCTGTTTTTCATCTTTTAGAGGTAGAATAATTAACCACATTTACTTTCATTTACTTTTTATATACACCTTTAACTACCAAGCTAGAATTTATATTTTTACTTTTACTTCAGAGAAAATCTGTTTTTCATCTTTTAGAGGAAGAATAATTAACCACATTTACTTTCAGTTTTTTATATACACCTTTAACTACCAAGATCTTGCAGGTGATGACTGACTGCGTGCTGTTCTCTGACTGCCAGGTTTCACATCACTAAAAAAAGAAATAACAGCAATTGTGGATGTGAAACCTCAGTTATTATACCAGCCTTCAAAACCACAGAATATGTGAAATAATAACTAAAATTTAGTTTCAGAAAGAGTTACAATCACATGTCATCTTTTGTAACTGTACAAATGCTGCCCAGTAACTTTTCCCCCAGCATTTAAAATCTCTTCTTCATCCACGTAAATAACCTGTTAGCTTTCATTTTGGTCTTTGTTTGCTTCTTGTCTTTGTTACACAGAGACAAGTCCAGCATTTTCCAGCAGTAATTTCAGTTCTTCTCTCAGAACAACTGGAAAGTTCTGTCCCAACCCCCTCTTTTGTACTGGCAGGCTGCCACCTTCATTTCAACTATGAACAGTGTGAAAAAGAGTTTGCTGATTTCAGCCTGTGGTTCAGTCTGAGTTGTTGAGCTGGTTGTTGTTATCTGTGTATATCACTGTGGTACAGCAAATGTATCTGTATCTGTCTCATCTTCCACCAGGGTTCGTGGTGGGCCAGTCTGGACTGTACCAAGCCATCGCCATGTTCCTGGTCGCCTACTTTATCATCTGTATGACCGTGCTCTCTGTGTGTGCCATCTCCACCAATGGAGCCCTGGATGCTGGCGGAGCGTACTGTATCCTCTGGTCGTGTCACGTGACAGCCACATCTCTAACCTCATTACTGCTCGCCACAGTAACACAGAGCTCACACTCTTTGGTGCCGTCTTCAGACACAAATATCACTTTGTTCTCAGAGGCAATGACTGGGGCTGAAGTTTTTTATTAACTGACACTCCTTGGCTCAGAGGTTGACTCCGGGACTTCCTGCCAAAAATCTGACAAACAACTCTGAAGTCCAGACTATTTGTTAATATATATCTGAAAAAAAACTTATTAAAACAACTCTGAAGTCCAGACTATTTGTTAATGTATATCTGAAAAAAAAAAACTTATTAAAATCTTTTGTTAATCAGCATAATTAGAAATGATTGATCTTTCGTTTTAAAATGGCAGATTTCCACTATATATATAAGTAAGTTTTCCAGTTGAGGAAGAAAAAATGGAGACCATAATTCTTTTATACTAACGTACACCTGGTTTTCTCACACAAATTCCAACTTAACAATTGTCGATTCCACCTTAACTTCACTCAGACATGATCAGTCGAGCACTGGGTCCAGAGTTTGGCGGCAGTATCGGGATCATGTTCTTCCTCGCTAACGTGTGCGGCAGCGCCCTCTATGTGCTGGGTCTGGTTGAGGCTGTTGTGGGTACCTTTGGGTTACCTGAGGGTAAGTTATATCTCAACATCTTGTGAAATGCTACTAAATGATGGTTGAAAATATTGTAAATGTATGGATTTTTTTTTGCACATTTTAAAGTAATGAATACGTAGTTTGAAAAGGACAAATCAGAATTATTAGATGGTTCCACTCGGGAAAGCCGTTGTGTGGTTTAATGAGGTATTGACACGTGGTCATTTGTAGCTGACCCTGGCACTCCTGACCCAGGTTGAGACAAGGACATGAACTGTGACTAGAAAAATGGCTAAAGGCTAAACAGACGACAGGTTTATGGAGCCAAACAAAGGTTTCATCCAAGCAGCTGCGTACTTGGCCTGACTCTAATAGAATTCATCTGAGGAGAAGAAGCTCCTATTCAGAAATTTAAGTCAGGAAACAAAAGTCTGGCCTCTCCTCCAGTGGTCAGTTTGGTAGATGTTTTATTTTTTGTGAAAACTTTGTTTTTATTTTATTTGGTTCTTGACTACATTTTTTAACACATCTTTTTCCTTCCCCTCCAAAACCTCTGCCTCGTCCTCACCAGATGGAATTGCAATCACCTCTCCCTACCAGGTCTTGCCGTCAGGATACTGGTGGTCTCTGCTTTACGCCACAGCCATCGCTCTGCTCTGCCTCCTGGTGTGTCTGGTGGGAGCGCACATCTATGCCAAGGCCACCTTCGTCATCTTCCTGGTGGTCATGTTCGTCCTGGGCACGATCTTCATCAGTTTCTTCGCAGTAGGGCCTCGCACCATCAACCTGCCCAGTTCTGCCACTGTCAACCCAGGGATAAACAGTACCGGTCCCACAGTTCCCACCTTAGCCAACTTCACTGGCTTCAAACTGGACACGCTGCTGGGAAACCTGAGGGGTAAGTCGTAGGAGGCTCCGTCAAATGACTGGACTTCTCAGTGTCCTGTTTCAGAGCAACAGCATCAAATATTTTGAAATAAAAAAAAAAAACAGAACATTTTTCATATATTAGTTTTCTTTCATTCCTTACATACATTTTTAACTCAAGGCATTAGACATCAACCGTAGACTGTGTTCAAAAGAGGAATTGTCACAACTATATTTCTCTTTGTGTTTTTGAAACACTCACTTCCATTCAATTTGAATTTCAAGTTTGACACTTCCTCCCCTCAAGATTTATTGACAAAAAACCTTCTCAGCTGAGTCAGCCGTAGCACTGTTTCCTTTCTCTTCACAGGATTTGACAAATTTAAATATACGTCACAGTAAAACATCCTATTTATACTTTGCCTAAAGTTGGTTTGATCCGAAAATCTACAGATTTGAATTTTGCCAACATTTCTGTAAATCACCTTTTGTTTTAACTGGTTTCCTCATGTATTACAAATCAAACTTAACATGAACGTTGCTCTTAATAAAATACAGAAGTGTGACTGCTTTGTGTTGTTGTCAACCAATCACAAATCAGATATCTCAGAATGTACATCACCTTTTACTGTTAAAAACAAAGTTTATTTCCTCTCCTTTCAGCACAACAGAAGCTTTGGCTGATTTATAAAAAAACCTTTGTTAGAGCAACCAATCTGACTTATATCAGGATTACCCACGTGTATAAATCAACATTAATCACAGACTGGTCAATCTTAGAAAAAAAAATAAAAATACAGAACAGAACCTTCAATTCTGTTGCAACAACACCTGTATTTAACTTCTGTTTTATGTCAAAGTCGCTGCTGTGCTGTTAGTTTGAATTTTTAGTTTGTTCTGTTTCTTTGTTCATGCAAACACACAGGTGGCGCTGTGTGCAGCGGGCATGACCACACACATGATTACTAAGCTGTAACAAATGCTGCACCTCAGACTGGCACTCACACACACGTGAGGTTTATTACACAGAGCAGGCTGTGGATTATCCTAAAGCACTCGTGCAAACAGGAAAAAGTGACGCTTTACATGGAAGCAGTGAAATAATCAATATTCTGTGTGTATCATGCACAGCACAAGTATTTAGATTCATGTTTTTATCACTTGAAAGCTTGGTTTAAAACTTGAGGTTCGTGTGTCTGGAAAAAGTAATAAAAAATATTTTTCTTCTGTTTTTTTACAGCTGACTACACAGTGGATTACACTACAGGGACCATGATGACCTTTGCCACAGTATTTGCTGTGATGTTTAATGGCTGCACTGGTATCATGGCTGGTTCTAACATGTCAGGTAGGAGAAGTTTTTTTTTTCATCTTTGATGTGATTGTCTGAATGTACAGTAAACCATTGAAACCTAAACTTTTTTTTTCTTTCTTCCAGGGGACCTGAAAAATCCCAGTTATTCCATCCCTCGCGGCACCATCACTGCTGTCATCTTCACATTCATCATCTACAACCTCCTCAGTCTGCTGGTGGCCTGCTCCTGTGATCGGTCAGTAACACTTTGACATGCCGCAGAAACATTAGGAAAAATTATGACCAGGGCTGTAAAATATACAACCGCGATGAACCCGTACTAAACTGGTGCCGCCCAGACTGGAGAAACGGACAACATCCACATCTGATTGTACAGTAATCTGAAGGTTGGTTGTTGCATCAGCACTGGCTGCTCAGCTGCTCCTGATCCTTGGTTCACTTCTCTGTTTGCTTTGCCCTGGTGGCATTCTTTAGCTTTTTTTTTTAAGTTACTCAGTGTTTGTTTTATACGGGTTTCAAATGTGAAAAGACACCTGACATTCACTGCTTTCTTTATCTGCGATTATTCAACTGATGAATTTATAATTCTTTGAGTGAAAAAAGCACAAGTTTAATGATGTTAATGATGAAGACACAAATTATTGACCACTTTATGACAAAGCAAAAAGAGAACAAATAATGGCGGTGGTGAAGGAGGATGTGAAATCAGGTGAAATGGAGGCAAGAGAGCAGCCAAAAAAAAGATAACTCTGGTGTCCACGTCCTTTCTTTACTGTGAAGTTGAGAATCTAAAACATACGAGTCCTTCATGTTACAGTTGATATTTTCTCCTTTGCGATTGGACTCGTCCTCCTCGTCCTCGTCTCTATCTGCCTGCCTTCTACTATCAGTCTTCCCCTGAGTTTTTTATCGACGACTCTCTAAGCCCGGGGTTGTCGAGGTGTTAAACTGACATGACAGGGCCATAAAAGAGCACAGAGATCAATACTGACGTTTCTCCTGCTTTCACTGCGTCTTCTCTACATCTGTCAGCAACACAAACACATGCTCCCTGATAGGAGACAGTTTGTCTTTAGGGCACTGTCTTTGTGTCTCTGTGTGTCGCCTTTGTCTTCACCCCTGAAGTCACACGTACAACTCCATTAAATAGACTTCTCTCTTTCGAAACACTCCACAAAGTAGGTCAACATAGGGATGGACTGTAGGTAAGAGCTCATGAATAGAAGTGGTTTGATATGTGGCCCGGGCTCACATGACCCGACACAGAGAAAACACAGGGGACTTTTCACATGACCTGTGCCTGTATGTATGGCTCCTTGTCCACACTCCGCCTGACGTCCCCTGTATTGTATGATGTGGTGACGTAAACTACATCAGGGACGTAGTCATGTGGCTACGTGCACATGCGAGGTCAAAGAATTGTATGATCCAAAAAAAAAAAAAAAAACTTCAGCTGGTTTTATGGTCCCTAAGTAGGAAATTGTTTCTGATTCGCTGAGGAAGAAGAAGAGATGTAGAAGGAGAGAGGGAGATTTATGTTTTTGTCACTCAGAAACAAAGTGTCATAGATGTATATGATGTAGATACTGCTGCATTGGCAGTTAATGCCACAGAATAATTTGTTTTTTTAATTCTGGTTTTGATTTGGTTGGTTGGTCGTTAGCTTCATAAACATAATCGATTCAGTCGTGTGTCCACTTCACCGTACTGAGGAAAACCCTGGGTTGACTGTTACACTGTCAGTAATCTGGCTGGTTTAGTTGGAAAGTGAAACCTGCGGTTCCTCTCGGCGTTCAGACTGATGTATTGAGATACAGGAGACACAAACACAGGGTTTGAACGGTGTGATGTGCTGTTACTTGTCGTGACCTGAACGTCTCTTATCGTTTGTTAGTGTCAAGTCACTTTATCCCCAGTCTGTTTATGTATTGATCTGACCAGGACTTGACCTGATAACTGATGACTGTGTTCAGTCTCTGAAAAATTAAACGAAGTGGAAGCTTTTCTTGGAAGAATTGACTGTCACCAAGAACATATTTAAAACTGTTGTTTTAAGATATATGATGATAAAGAATTTATCTTGATTTTCTTTTTCTGATTTTGTTTTTCTCTCTGCTGCTGGTTAGAGACACGTCTCTGGGCTTCAATGTTGAAAAGATGCAGCAGAATCAAGAGTCTTATATCAAAAATAAATATGAATTCATATTTTGGAAAATCTATTGACTTTCAGGATTTTTACAGTCTTAATGCATTTTTAGCGTGATCTAAAAATTCTCTTTTTTCCCCCTATTCGTTTACTGCTATTTTTCGATGCTCAGAAACTAACCTTAGATATATTGAGTATATTTTTCTCTGTATTATTTTCTGATCTTATTTTTCGCCCTGTAGGTTCAAATACTCAGGGAATTTCTTTAGGAATTCAAAGTCAGTTATCTTTATTTTTTCTTCATATTGTCTTACTGTTTCATTTATGTGGCTTTAAACACCATTTCTTGTTATTTTCTTTTCTTTCTTCTGTTTGGAGGTAATAGACCTCACGTGATTTGAATCAAGCTTTACTGAAGGTTAAATTCTCCATATTTAAAAAACTTTATCCACTGAATGCGGCGGCCAGTGGTAGTTACCACAGTTGTCCACAGGGTGGCAGTCTTGCTCTGTTTTCCCACCAGCGCTTTGACTTGTTTAACTGGATCATTTAATGAGTGACAAATCAACCTTTACTTAAGGCTCTCCTCAAATTGCCACTCTCGGCCCACGGTAGCTGTGGATTCTCATTTAAAAGGCAAAGTGGTTGAGTTTGAATTTGAAAGTAAATGTCAGGTGGGTGGGAGTGGCTGCAGGAATCATTATGCTGCTCTTTGAGGGCTTCCTCTTCACAGCTGCCTCTGTGTGAGTGTGTGTGTTTGTGTGTGTCCATCTCCTAACATCACTGCCCTCGTGCAGAAACGAGCCGGGGATTGTCAGTGTGTGCTCATTATAACCAGAGACAAGGTGATTATAAAGGCAGAGCTGGCAGCTTCAGCCTGTTCAGACATTGTTTTAAAACATCAGCTGCTGCGTGACACACACCTCAGCATCCGCTCTGCTCCGTGTGTGTGTGTGTGCACCTCTCAGTGTTCGCGTCAGCCCTGGTTAATCACACATTGTCAATCTGTGAGGTAAATGAGAGAAGGTGTTACAAAAAAAATGAACTCCACATGTTTAAGGGAACAGAGATACAAGATCATATAAGGCGTCGAATTGATTAAGTGTTTGGTCAGAAGTCTCAGTGCTGTTATGCATCGAGGTCCAACTTATGAACATTTTCAGCGTCCCCCCCCCCCAGATTTTTCAGATTGACTTTGGAGATGCAGATGCAGAGACGGCGCTGAGAGTTTCTCCTCTTCTCCTCCGCGTGAGCTTATTTTCTGCTTCACTGGTATTAGCACTGCAAAGAAGAAGAGAGTCATTTGGAAGTAAAAGCCAAACCGCTGATTTCCAGGTCACTGTTAATAGAGCCCAGCCATATTTTTCTTTTTTTCTTTTTTCATTTCTGAGATTATTGCTGATGATACGCCAGCATGGTAAGATGGGGGCCGGTGATGATGACGTTGAAGGCTGACGGGGATGTGAGATAGAGGTAAAATCTATTAACCTCATGTGACCAGCTAGCCAGCCATGACAGATTGGCCTGTCGCTACTTTATCAAGCCTTCATTGTATTTTGTGTGTGTGCGTTTGTGTTTGGCAGAAGAGCGACAAGCACTTCAGGGGGTGCACGGGTTGCATACACATTCATAAGGCTGCCTGTCAGAGATAGTGCAACACAAAGAATGCCCTGAACATCCAAATTAATAGAATTAACAACTGCATTATTAAAACAAAGTGTCTCCAGTGCATCCGACGGATTAGCCCACAGGTCACTGATGCAGCCGCATTGTACGGAAGAAAAAGAAACACACATGTGCAAAGTCAGTCAAGCAAAGACACCATCACAATCTTTCCCCCTGAGAGACACCCCTCCCTCACTCCCTCACTCCCTCCCTCCCTCTCAGCCTCCCACACACACACACACACTGATTTTATTTCACCCTTAAGTTGTTTTAAAGTCAAACTGAAAATGAAGTCTTAAATTCTTCTTTCTGAAGAACGGTCGTATGAGGTACAGAGCTCAAAGGGAAAGATGAATCTGCGCACCCTGAAGAATAACTCTGGCAGTAGTTTCAATCTAAAACGAAAAGGTGGAAATATGATCCAGACATATGGAACGGTCCAAATGACATACTCTCTGTATGTTGTTGTCAGATTCACTGGATAAAATAGTCAGTTTTAGGCTTTTTGACTTCAGCTCCCTGACCAACTCAGCTCAGTGAGACTGGTCTGAACCAAGGTGGGCATTTTAATAATATTTATTTATATCTAAATTTAAAGCCGTTCCTACTAAACCTCAGTTTAGAGGCCTCGTTAACCTCTCATTAAATCATCAAGGGGTGGGATATCCCACCTTTTCACCCGTGAAGGGGTCGGGCAAAGGAGTGTTGGAGATAAAAAACAAAACAAAACAAATCAATACTTGGCTCTTAGCTTAGTTTATCTTTGTGTGTGTGGTCCTCCAGAGAATCTCACCTACTTACTTCACCTACTGCTGCTTAAAACTTAATGTTTGTTTACTGTGCAGAAGAAGAAAAAAAGATAAGAGACCACCTGTGAAAGAGCTTTTAGTCACTCAGAAATTAAAACTTAAAATCACCCCTAAGCAAAATGTTCGAAAAAAAAAAACCAAAAAAAAAAACCAAAAGAACAACAGTTGGAGACTTCAACTTCTCATTTACCCACACTTAAAAAAAACCCTCTAAATGTCATTTATTTAAATATATTTAAAGGATCTTTTTTTAAGGCATGTTCTGTATCAGTTCTGTATCAGTGGTTCTAAACGATAGATATTATGGGATATAATTTCCTCTGTTTGAGCCTGTTTCATTAAAACATCAACCCATTCTTGTCTCCTTTGACGCCAACATTCTCAGAAATGATTGAGATCCTCTGTCTTTCTGCTGAATCTGGACATTAGTTATGTTTGGCAGTTGAGGGCAGCCATCATTACCCACCAAAATGTTCCTATACGACACCTTCTTAAAAATTCTGAGGTTGCAAACTGTGACTTCAAAGTTGTAACTTAAAACAGTTGGCAGGATAAAAATAATGCAGCTCATGTTCAGTATGTATTTGCCCTTCAGTTTCCCAAAAAAGTTTTCTGCAGGTTTTTTTTTTTTTTTTGTGGCTTTGCTTTACCTTTGTTTTCTCCTGCCGCTGGGCCGCTGTGTTTTAAATCAGCTGTGCAGTATGAAATATGGGAGCTGTGCTCTTCACCACTCGGAGACAGTCGCTGCTGCAGCCACAAAAGGTTGTGGCCTGGTGTGAAATAGTATTTGCTTTCCTGCAATTTTTTTTCCCCCCCAGAAAATGCAGAGTAAAATTTGAACATCGGGTGGTAAAGATGGTCAAGGTGATTTACTGTACAATACTTTGAGAGGACAGATGTGTGTGGCTGTGGGGATTCAAGGAAACAGTCGACAAAAAATACATAAAATGAAACCATACGTTTGTGAGTAAAAGATAACAGAAATACACCCTGAACTTTGGCGAGTAAAGTTAACAAAACCGTAAAGATTTCACAAAAAGATCGAACTTTCTTCAATTACATGTTTTGCGCATGTCTGTGTGTGTGTTTGTCATTCTGGTTTATTTATGCTTGTGGGGACACTGTCTTTGTGGGGACTGAGTTAGGATTAGAACCAGGGTCAGATTAGGATTAGGGTAAATGTGTAGCAAATGCACAGTCTATGAGAAGTGTTCATATATCTGTCTGCTCATTGGACAGTTATCCATCCCATTTAATAATCCTTAATCGCAGTCTACTCCCCTGTGAACACTTCACTTTACCTCTTTCCCATAATCCTCCTGTTCCCATGGGGGTTACTATTGTCTCCTTCTTCTACTACATCTGTGTTTTTTTTTAGATTCTAGCTCATCAGAAATTTTCTTCTACTACATCTGTGTTTTTTTTAGAATCAACTCATCAGAAATTGCTACAAGGTCAAAGTAGAACCAGGTTGACAGCCAACACACTCCAGTGTTACTCTGTGCTCTGTACCTTTACTTTCCTTGAAGTTTTACTTTTAGATGTTGGGTTGTTAGCATGTGTTTAGCATATGATAAACAATGTTTCATCTTAGCCAATTTAAATAGCCCGCTTCTACGAAATCATTGATGCACTGACAACCTCGGGCCTCAATTGACCAGGAACATAAAGGGAAGCAAAAGCAGCTTGAAGGAATGAACGGTTAAGTTGTCAGTTCACTGGACCATATTAAATATTTTTACTGCACACAGCTAGAACAGCGCCCCACATGTTGATATCAGCCAATCTTTCTAGTAACCTAATCATAACAAATAAAAGGCAGAGTGTAGATGGAATGAGGTGTTTGTGTGGAACATGTTCAACAAAATGGATGTCAAAAATCCTGTTTCTTGATGATCAAAATAAAGAACATTACAGCGTCGCCTGATGCTGTGACGTCCATAGAGATGTTCATTAGTCTTCACCCAGCTGAGTATGATCTACAGGAAGCCACAAGATTCAACAAGTCCTCATCGACAGATGACACAAATTGTCAATAGATTCTGAAACGAGCAGAACACTGATGTTAGCCTTTAGCTCGAGCCGTTTCAGTCATTAGCTCTTAGCTCGCTCCAGCCTTTATTGGACGTTCACGATCTTTTTCTTCTCTCTCTCTCTGGGATCATTAAACAAGAGGATCCTTGATGGTTTCAGGTGGTGTGACCTCGCCCTCTCGAGAGCTCAGATCACCAGGATCTGCAGCTTTTAAGCTGCGCGTGTGACTGGAATCATTATGCTGGTGTTGTACTACACATAAATACAAGCAAGCACGTTTGCACACAGTGTGTCATTTTTCATCGTGTGTGAAAAAAATTGCAGATGATTTATCCATAATGTTTGACCACAAGCGGTGGTGAACTCTCAGAAGCGCAAACACGTGAAATGATGGATTAAAATAAATAAATATGCATGAATACACAAATGAGTGTGAAGATAAAAAAAAAAAGAAAACGTAAATAAATAAGCTAGAGGGCGCTGTGTGCCAGGAGGATCAAGAACAATCATCTGTAGGATCTCTGTGGGCTGCTTTTAGTGCTTTTAGATTCGTTCCTTTTTTTAATCCGTCATTCACTTACTCCTTGTTTCCCCTTTTTATTTGGACGTCAGAGCTCATTTTAGCTGGATGAGCTGATCAATAATTACTTTGTAGGATTTACACACACACACACACACATATTTATTGAGTAATACCACACAAAATTACAAAACGCCCAGTATTGTAATGACTACATAATGTGGGCAGACCTCCCCCACTCTCTCTCCCTCTCTCATACTCTTTTAGTCTCTCTCTTCCTCTCCCTTTCCCCTGAACACACACTCACACTCACACCATTTTTCATATCTGCCAGCCACTTTGTGGTGGCTCTGTGTTGGAGAGCGAGTTGGGAAATGTCAAGCTTTTTTTCAAGATTTATTTAGCTCTTGCTGCACGTCAGAGAAATTAATAATCAGCCTATAAGGTTTGACCCACATCATCACTCATCTATCACTCACACACACACACACTCACACACACTCACTCTTAAACCATTCTTTAATCCTTGGTTAATTCTACCCAAACACACTAAAATGCACATTTGAGCGCATTCCTACCTCTGAAACCACCGAGCTGTGTTTTTGTTTTCTATCATATTAATACATCAGCAGCTCTGATTGTTCATCAACTTTTCTACTGTGCAGCTCATGCCACACACCCACAAACAACCGCTCACAAACGCGCAGCGTATAAACAATAACGTTGGCATTTCCTCATTTCCAGGCTGATGTTAATGTCTCTGCAGAACCTTTGTTTGGTTGATTTGTGGTAATGTGTTAATCGTGTGCATGTGTAAGTGTGTGTGTGTGTGTGTGTGTGCTTCTTGGTCTCCACGCGAAATAATGGTGTTCTCAGATCTTGGTGAAAATTATAGGTCCACACAAATACACAGAAATAATAGATCCACACAAAATAACGGCGCGCTCGGATCTTTCAGTGGCGCGAACAATAGATAATAGGGTGATGATAGTAAGTATTAAAATCACTGGACCTGAAATAAACTGTGAGAAGACTGTTAATTAAACGAGAAAGAAAGAGGGAGAGAGAGGCAGACAGACAGAGAGAGAGAACAGATGCTTCAAAAAGTAGCTTTTTAACATCAAAACACGGAAATGAAATGAAAGTGAGATGGAAAAAATCTGATGGGATTTCATGAGGGAGTTGTAACTGTACCAGCATGAGAGGTTAACGGAGTGGAGGAGGAGGGGGGGGACATGGTGTGTGTGTGTGTGTGTGTGTGTAAACAGAAGGATTGATCTGATTGGATCAAGTGAGAAGGAGGGAATATTTTTACACTCTTATTTCTTGTTCTTTTGAATGTGGTCAATCTGAGGTTGTTGTTGTTGTCAGTGATGGTGTTGGTGATTGTTGTCAGTGTTGTTGTTGGTGATGGTGTTGGTGTTGTTGTTGTCAGTGATGGTGTTGGTAATGGTGATGGTGTTGGTGATAGTAGTCAGTGATGGTGTTGGTGATTGTTGTCAGTGATGGTGTTGGTCTTGGTGTTGGTGTTGTTGTCAGTGATGGTGATGGTGTTGGTGTTGTCGTCAGTGTTGGTGTTGTTGTCAGTGTTGGTGTTGGTGTCAGTGATGGTGTTGGTGTTGTTGTTGTCGTCAGTGTTGGTGTCGTGTTGGTGATGGTGTTGTTGTCAGTGTTGGTGTTGGTGATTGTTGTTGGTGATGGTGTTGTCGTCAGTGTTGGTGTTGGTGATTGTTGTGGGCCTACAGGCTGTAATCATACACACCCTGCTGTGGGGTTTGTACTCTCTGATTTCTCTGTCACTGTGTCTGTTGCAGCATCCCCAACACACACACACTCATACACACACACTCATACACACACACTCATACACACACACACACACACACCTCTTTGAGTTCCAGGATGTTCTAATTAGCCACTCCAGTGGCGTAGTCGTTGCTTTCTCTTTAATCTCGCTCTTTTTCATCGAACGTTGACACCTTTAGGCTCCACTCCGTAACAAATGACAAGCAACTTTTTGAACCTCTTGATTCTGATCCTCTGGTCTGAAGAGGATCTAATTCTGCACACGTTGGGAGGTCGAGGGAGTTCCTTTTTCTTTTCTTTTTTTTTTTTTTTTTTTTTTGCATTGAATCCTTCAAGTCTGTCTTAATGATGTTTTCATTGGTTTTGACTCTTTGTCTACTGTAAAACAACACAACTGGTGTTATTAATATCATACATACATAAATGACACACAACAGAATCCCATCATTTTTATACTATTACCTATACAAAAAACACACTCATATATAGGAATGGGAATCAAAATGAATGTACCGTGTACAATTTTTATACGATATTCTTTTATCCATTTTTGTTGAGTTCTGAAATTAAATATATATATAGTTCAAACGGGTTTGTTCTATTAACATGACAATGGATTTAGACTGAATTAAAACAGAATTAAAATAACAATTCATCTGCAGGAATTAACATGTTGAGTTTGTGTGAGAAGAGTCTGAATCAAAGATCTGTAGGAAGGACCTTCGGCCTTGACATCAGGAGTGGAACGTGTGTGATGTCATTGAGCCAAAAAAAACAAACATTATAAAACAAACCTGTGTGATATCGGCGAGCAGAATAGTTCAACCACCAGACTAAAGATTTCACCATTGGAAACCTTTTCTGGATTCCTATCCCTATGGTCTTGCTTTATCTTACAACTGAACTGTGTTACATTTTTTGACATTTCCTAATCTGAGTTTTTTTAATAACGATGATAAAGTTACCATGTAAAGACCAGGAGCCGTGGTTTGACCGCTGATTCTCCCTCTTCTGTTTCAGTGTCCTGCTTCAGAGGGACTACAGTTTCCTGAGGGACATAAATGTCTGGAGACCCTTTGTCACCATCGGGGTCTATTCATCCACCCTCTCTGCTGCCATGAGCAACCTCATTGGAGCCTCGCGCATCCTGTACGCCCTGGCCAGAGACGACCTGTTTGGTGGGTAACACAGCCGGTCTTAAAAACTATATTTGGTCTTCTCAGCTGAGATTTCCATCTAAGTTTTGTTTTGTGCACGCTGCCTGCTGGCTGTTGCCTCTGTCATTATTAATGACTTTGAGCAACTTCCTTATTCCATCTTGTGCTCCTCGGCTAAGTCTATTGCAAATTGATTTGGCCCATTTCTGTCTTTGTCCACTGCTGTTCTTATGTGTGTCAGAGAGATAAATGGCCGTATTAGTGGGACTTCCACTGTGGAGTGATCAGAGGGACCAAAACAGGACTGACTCCAGATCAGCTGCTCAGTGACAGCTAAAGGGTTAAATTAAATCACATGAAAATGTTTAATTAGGACTCAGTGACTGAGGCATGAAAGATGGAATGTTCCTTTAGATCGGGGGGCATGGTTACTGTGAGCTCCGTGTGTGTGTGTTGGCGTGCATGTTCCTTTAATGGTTAACTTGCTCTCATCCTGGCAACTTAAGAGATTGCCACGTCATTGATTTACCACACTCACTCACACACACTTTGTCCTCCGTAACTGTCCTTCACCTCCGTCCTGCTCCGTCTCACAGCTCCATTGATTGGACTTAAATTTAGACAGATTTGATTTTTATTCCAAAAATATATTTGGACACAAACAACCGTTTTCCTTCACCTCTCTAGACCCCTACTCATCAGGTCACGTCTGTCGTACCTTGTGTGTAAAGGAGTGAATACTTCCTTCTTCAAAGTAGTTTATCAGTAGAAGGTGGGATTGTTAATCTGTTAATGTACACGTCTGTCGTACCTTGTGTGTAAAGGTCCGAGTGAATACTTCCTTCTTCAAAGTTGTTTATCAGTAGAAGGTGGGAATGTTGATCTGTTAATGTTCCATAGATAATGACAAGGATCAACTTGGTTTTTTTTCTAACAGTAAATGTCTCGCCCACATCTTAGGTCGTTCTCTCACTTTCTCTGTCTTTTTTTTTTTCAAACGAGACATTTAATTAGTGACATACGTCTGTTTAAATGTCAGTTGCCCTGAACGTTTCTATTCTTGGTCTTAACCTCCTCTGGTCTGATAGCAATAACACAATTGTTGCCTAGAAGTCTTTTAGCAGAATCTGGTTATTGGCAAACAGAAAACAGAAGAAAAAGACAAGAGACGTTGTTATTATGTTGGCAATTTAGTTTGTTTTATTTATTCTGTTTTGTTTTTTTTTTAATTCTCATTTAAAAAGGTTTCATGCAGTAATTTCGTGTGCAACCTTGTGTTTGAATTGAGCAGAAAATAAGAAAAATGATTATGGTTTAGTTGCACAAAGAAATGTCATTCTGAGAATAATATTTGCTGACTCACTGCATGAACACCGAGAAGGTTCAGACTTTCCGTCTCAATGCATGAACACCGAGAAGGTTCAGACTTTTCGTGTCAATAGACATTCCTAAACTTCTGGGAAACATGGTGCGAGACGACCCAAAAAAAAAAAAAAAAAACTCTTGCGACCCACCTGAGGGTCACGACCCACTCTTTGGGCAACAATGACTTAACCTACTCACTAACTAACCTACTAGCTAACTACCTTACTTGACTTCCTTTCTAGAGTATCTACTATTTTAAATATTTACAAACAATCCTACTCACTTACTTGACTCACTTACTAGGATAACTACTCATTTACTAACGTACTAACTAACTAACTTACCTACCTTTTGATACAACATATGTGAAGGTCAGTGAAGGATACATTTAAAGCCGGTGTTTTATGAAACTATTGCTGTGTTATTTCTCGCTGTCTTCAGTCCTTCATTTCATCCAGCAGCGTCTGTGGCCGTGACACTGAAATCCTTTTGTCTGTTTTTTTTAACCACTTCACTTATTTACTCCAGTTCAACATTTGTGCCTAAAAACACCGCTCAGTAATTGTTCAGAGATCCCTGATCCTGTGCAGATTAGTTTTTACGGGAAGTCCACCAGGCACAAAAGCGCCATGCCAAATTTAATCAAAAAACAATATTTCTTTCCTGAAATAGGCTTCATTAAATCACTCAGTTACTGTCCAGACGCAGCGAACACAGACGTCGGAGGATTGCTTTATTTGTTGATAAGTGAATACATTAATATTTGGTTGAGGCCTGTGAGGGAAGTGGTCTGTCAGAACTCATCAGGAGAATCAGTGTGAGGAGGCAGCGTCAATAAAGAAGCTGAGAGTTGAAATGCATGTGTATTTCTGCAAAACCACTGGTACCTCGCACGCTTTCATTGATTATTGAGAAGGAAATGTTCAAATGCTTTTCTGTCTAATAACCCTTCAGTGTCTCCTAAAGTGAACCATGTTTTTCCTACGACCAAGGAACCACTAAAAGAGGGTGAAATACATTATTATTATTATTATTACTGACATGGATGTTTTTTTATTATTATTATTTTCAGCCGTGAATTTTTTTACACAGAAGCTGCCACTGTAAAAAGGACGAGGTTGTTTCCACGTAAGCACTTCTGTGTATTTCTGGGGTTACATTTTTTGATTAACATCTCTTTTCATCCCTGCAGGAAAGGTTCTGTTTCCAGCGAAGAAGACGTCCCAGAGTGGTAACCCTTGGGTCTCTGTGCTCATCTCCTGGTTCCTCGTGCAGGTTAGTAGTGATAAACAAACTCAAAGGTGCAGAGAAAGGCAATAAAAATATTTAATATTTGCAAAATGAAAGAGCTGCCAGGTTCTCGCAAATGACATTGACAAAAGCAGTCAGGGCTTTAAAAAAAAAAGTAATTTTTTTTCTTTTACAGTAGGCTTTCTGGAAGTTGTTTGAAATGATGTGACCTTAAAACAACAACAACAACAAAAACTCAGCAGTAGTGCTAAGCAGTTACTTTTAAGAAACTTAAATTAAATTATAACATGCTATAATACAGAAAACTATAAATTAAATGTTATATTCTGCCCCAGAGAGTCAAACTGGACAAGGAAATAATAGAAAAAAATAGAAAATGAAAATATAAAAGTTGTTATTTAGAGTATCAGCTTTGTATCAGCTTTATTTCACTTTACATGTACAGACACAACACACATTTTTCAGATAAAAGTTGTTATTTAGAGTATCAGCTTTATTGGTCACTTTACATGTACAGACACAACATTTTTCAGAAATTACAATTTGGCCTGGAGTTGTCCACCATAACAAAACTAACACTTCAGTAGTTTGTTTTACAAGCTCTTGCCCAGAAAAATAATAAAATAATTTTAAATTGTAATGAACAGTTGAATGAGAAGATGTTTTTCTCTGAAACTACTAACACTTTTATTCAAGTCAGATGAATTGAGAGTCAGCCAACACTGGTGTCAAACAAACTTCACTTCATTAAAATAAAAACAACTACACAGTGACCCATTACAAAATACAACATTTATTTTTTGTTACAGTAATATTGAACAGAACAGAATGATCTTTTTTTATACCAGGTAAAAATCTCTCTGTAGCCGGTTCTCTCCTGTAATTGGTGTTGTGAAAAGACAATTTCTAAAGGTGGCAGTGGGTTGTTAGTGAGACTATTTAGACAGGGAGGAGGAGGAGGAGGAGGAGGATCTCATGAGAAAATAGGCCTGACTATCCCATCATTATCAGAGGTGAGTGTTAAAGGGCTGAATGGCTTGCCATTATTTGCACTCGCTGCGTGTCCCTCACTCATCCAGGTTTCTTTATCCCTGCCTCTCTGCCGGAGTGGAGGAGGAGCAATTAGATGGAAATCGTTAGCTGTGGCCGCGCTGCCATCAGAGATTATTGACTCTCTCGTCCTCTTTCTCTCTGCCTCTTGCTCCGCCATTTGAATGATTCACTGACGACAAAGTCTGATTGTAATCTTGCCTCAAACACTTGCACTGCATGAAAAGAAAGTTGCAAGTGAGAGAGAGGGGGGAGGGAGGAGAGGAGGGGAGGGCGTTCATGTAAGGACCTCTTGTATTGAACCCTTAACCACGGAGGAAAAGAGACTCCAAGAACAAGGAACAGGAAAAATACTTTTTTTTATAGTAGAAATGATGTGCCCCAGCTTTGTACAACAGCTTTCAGATCAGCATAAAGGTACAGTGGGTATCAATTGGTGACGCTTTTCCATAATTTTACCAAACACTTCAGCTGCTCAGTTCACAGAGTTCCTGCTTTTCTCCTTGCACTTTTGGAACATTTGTCGCTCGGATACTTAAAAAAATGTTCTTGTTTAAATCGATTCCACAAAAAAAGAATTCTACGAATGCTGGCACTCTTTCAGTGTTTAAGCTGCTCTGTGGATACACCTGCACAATGCATTATTATTATTATTATTTTCTATTAAATCACTTTGTACAAAGACCAAGTAGTTTTTGGGGAGCACTTATTTCCAAACCCATGGGAAAACATATTTTTTTAATGAAGCCATAAAATATTTCTGAAGATTTTCTGTTGAGTTCTCTGAACTTCAGTTTATAAGAATTGGCCAAGAGTGAACATAGACCCAGAGTAGGATTCTACTGTATTCTATACTGTAGATCTGATGTAAAGGAAAAAGTCAATGAAAAGAAAAACCAAGCATCTGTGAGTATTTGTCAGACGGAGACGTGTGCGTCTGGTGACGACGTCGTTCATCAGTTCATGGATGTTTCAGCCAGACAATGTCCGACCTCTTTTATTACAGATTACAAAAGCACATGTTCATGCACATTAAGTGTGTGTGTGTGTTTGACTGACATGCCTATAGTTCAGAGTCTGTCTTCCATTGAAGGTCTCTGAGGCATCATGGAAAAAAACGTGGAATAAGAAGACGTCTCATTGGCTCTTACGGAACCATGATGACATCGTCTCCTAGAAATGACATGGAATTTTCAGGAAGGACAATGCCGGATCTCATTCTGCATAGATTACAAAGGCTTGGCTTTATAATAGCAGTCACAGGAGTGAGGAGTGGACGTGGACCATTATTTTAGTACGAACAGAACTAAGAAAGACATGGCAAAAAAGTGTAGCGGCGTAACTAAAACAGTAACTACAGCTGGCAGGAAATTTGTTTTAGACATGGACATTATTATAGTAATAAGAAAAGACAAGTGACTCTGTGTGTTGCCAGGGTCATATACAGTAGGTACAGTCTGTAGCTTCAGTACCAGTACCTTGTCAATACAACCACACCTGTAAAAACCTTCATAAAAAAACCCTTTATAGTTGTTGTTGTAAGGATGTTCTTCACAGAGGAGGTTTAAACATCCAGCGTTTACACATTCCTCCGGCTTTTACTCTTGCCCTCAGTTCAAATGTATTAATGTAGGTGAGTTTTAACACTAACCTGATTGAACAGGAACTTAAACCCCTGAACACATTTCAGTCAGGGCTGTCAGACTTGAACCGGTAACCTCACATATTCCTGTAAAAGCATCATCCATCCTCTTTTGGATGATGCTTTTTGGAAGTATTTCTGCTGGACCTCTCTCACTCACACAACACACACTGGGTCCAAATTGTGGTCAATATATTTTCCACTAGAACATGTACTGTATAAAGCTCCACAGACTGACAGTTGCCCACCGGATGTGAAGCACTTGGTTCCAGGCTTGTCTCAGACTGCTGGTATTCTCAGCTCATAAGAGCTTATATAAAGTTGTGTTGCCACCACATTCTGACACATGCTGAGTCACGGACACAGCTCTAAAATTTCTGTCTCTGTCCTTCTAGTTTGTGGGGGTTTTTTTTTAAATCAAATTTGTTGCTGGCATTGGTGGGCAAAAGTTATTTTTTTTCTTAGGATGACCATAAAAAACTAAACATCCCAATCAACTGACCAACACAGAGTGACTCTGGGGACATTGTTGTAGTTGCAATTTTGCTGTTTTTGATGGGAGTAGTTACTGGACAACTGTTCATTTTTGTCTAGTGGACCAAGACATGGGAACAAAATCAAACCTAAATAACCAACTTTGCAAGAAAAGTCAACCTGCGAGTATCAATATTTCTGAGCAAATTTTTCACCAAATTAAGAAAATCTAAGCTTCTTCACTGCAAAAATCCAAAATCCATAGATCTAGTTTCTAACGAATTTGGGAAATGTGGAGACAGTGTGTTCCCTCACCTGAACAGAATAATAGTTTTGCTCACCTCTCCACCTTGTGCATCTTAATTCTGACTAGGGCGTCTTATAAATTAAAACAGTAAATGAAAAACTCCACAACAGGAGTTTGTCTTAACCTTAACCGTGATCGCAAAAATCAGATTTGGCCTCAGTAGGACCAGCGTGAGGACAGCTGGTTTTGACAAGGTCAGCGTTTATGCCATGAATGTTCCTAAATTGATAACCAAATAAGTGTGCGCTCTCACACCCCATCCCCTCCCCTCCCTCCCCCTTTCATCTCTTTTTTTTATGCATCGTGACAGCAGTTGTTCATGGTTGCCTGTGCCTGAGTTAATGTCTAATTAATACTCTGGTAGAGCAGGCTCCCAGGAGAGTCCTGAGGAGACACCCACTGACTGCCAGAGGTCACCCATACTTTCTGACTGCCTTTCTCTTTTTAAACTCATCTCTCCTTCTC